TTTTAGTTTGTTTTAATTTGATTCCTTTTGAAGTAGGGCAAAAAACACTGACTAGTTGAGTTTTGGTGGTGGTGGGTTTTATTATTATTTTTTTTTAATTATTGTTCTCCTGAGTAGCAGTATAGTGTTATTTGCAAGGCTCAGAAAAGTGTATTTAGAAAGTCTTATCTAGATTGTTGCTTTTCCTTATGAAGTTTTCACTGTTAAACATATATTTTGCTATTACATATTTTCTATTTCAAATGCCATATTTTAGTTATTTGTATATATTTTTTTCAGTAACGTTAGAATTATTAAAAATGTGTTAATGTTGGCTATGTGGTAGCAGACTAAGGGTCCAGGAAATGTTGAAAAAATATTTCCAATGTTATTTGCACACACAGGAAGTTTTTTGATATAACAATATATGACATGTAAGAAAATGGAGTGTTATCACTTTACATATTTCCTGGTAAGGATGTTAGATGATCATAGAATCACAGAATGGCTTGAGTCGAAGGGATCTGAAGGATCATCAAGCTCCAACCACCCTGCTGCAGGCAGGGCTGCCAATCTCCATATCTAATACTAGACCAGGCTGCTCAGAGCCCCATCCATTCTATCCTTGAACACCTTCAGATGATGTATTTGTACCATCATTTACTGGTGTCTTTTATTCAACCGAGTCTTCTACTGTTCTGTTTTTTAATAGTTTCATGCAGTTTGGGAAAACACAGGTTCATGAAATGTGAATTTTCTCAGTAATGTGAATTTTCTCAGTAAGTCAGGTGCATTAGCTTGTTGTTGGCAAGATTTTTTTACAATGTGGTTATAAGTTTAAAAAACTGTTATGAATTTTCTAATGAATTGATAATTTTTATTAGGAAAGTTTCTGTATGTAGCCTTAAGAATGTGGATTTGCATTAGGCATTATTGCAATCTTAAGCAGCTAATCTGAGTTCCTGAGTGACAAGGCTACTCGATAGCCAGTACGAGAGTTGAATTTAACTAAATCTAGCAGTTGCAGCTTTAGATTTAACAGGCATTGAATAGCATTCAGCTGCTAATTAATTTACAGTCCTGGTCCAGCTTTCACCAAAATAAGCAGAGTTTTTCTATCAACATCACATTGAAGTGGATGAGGACATTCACACTTTCTAAATAGGATAATAAAGCTTTTGTATATGTCCAGTAGAGTTTAAAAGCTTAAACATATTGTCACATAAAGCGTTAAATAAGTCCAAACTGCCTAAGGGTCAGAGAAAATAGTAGGATTGGTACACCTTATGTAAGTATATATCAGGAAAAAGAGAGGTTTAAAATTAAAAAAAAAAAAAAAAAAAAGAATTTTTAAAAAGAGGACCATACGTAAACATCCCTAGTAATGTCACGTGTATGTTTTGTAACATAGTAATGTGCGTGTATGTTTTCTGAGTTTGTTTCTGCAGGGAAATAATTATTTTTCTTTAGTTAAATCTAAAGTACTTCAATGACACCCCAGCAAACTTCCATTTTGCTTTTATTATAATTGGATTTATGTCAAGGAAAAGCATGAGGACTGGGGAAGGTAGTGTGAAATTTCTACTAATTAAACTGACAAAGGCCTTATTTCCTTTTTGGAATGAGAGATTAAAGTATTGTGGCAGCAGTGAGCATCAAAAAAACATACAATCTGTGGGATTCTATAGAAATTCTATTTGTTACTGATTTTTATTCTTGTTTAAAAGTGCTTGAAATACAACTCAGTGTTCCTAAATGTCATACGTAAGGTTTAGTAGTAATTAAATGGTGTAGCTACCAAAAAGTGCTATTCTCGGTTACATTTATCTTCTGAGAACAGTACGGTTGTGCAATAAACGGTACAATTCTGAAAGGCAAATCTGTGCATTTCTAGGATATTAATAATGCTTACGGAATAAACATAGAAGCTACTGTTTACTGGATAATTTATTCAATTAAGCAGTTGTTCCATCTTCCAGTTAAGTGATTTCCAATTAAAAAGTTGTCCTATTTAGACACTATAATAAATTATAAATTAAAAATTTGTAAACTTAGAATTTTATTTTTCAAACACTTAAGGTTTATTGTAAAATAAAATGCAGTTGAAAATATTACATCTATTTCTAATGGATGTGCATTATTTGTAACCATGCTGTTTTGTCCCTCACCTGATCTGAAACTTATTGTACAGGTATTATAAATTCTTGGACATCCAAAATCATAACACCAAACACATACAGGTGTTGTTTTTATATTGTTTTGGTCTTTGTAGAATCTCACTCTGGTCTCAATTATTTGCTAGAAATACATTTTATACCACTTTGGATTTCTTTCTCTTTGAAATCACATTCGTCCTCTCCTTTTTCTTCTTTATTTTTTAATATTATGCCTGGAAGAATTTAAGTATGGGCACTATGTGTAATGTAATTCACAGTGTGTAAATACATTCCTTTGATCTGGAAAAGTGCGCTTCACAGACAGTAATTGCTCATCGCATTCTTTCACAGAATCACAGAATCACAGTATGGCCAGGGTTGGAAGAGCACTCAAGGATCATGAATCTCCAATCCCCCTGACATATGCAGGGCCACAAACCTCCACGTTTAATGCTAAACCAGGCTGCCCAGGGCCCCATCCAACCTGGCCTGGAACACCTCCAGGGACGGGGCATGAAGGGGATGAAGAATCAATTTATCTCAGTTTTATCAGTAAGACCTGATGTAGCCATTGAATATTCTACAAGAATGCCCAAGAGAAAAGATAGTTTTAAGTTTTCCCAGACCAAGCTTTGCAAAAATTTTTACCTCTTTATGAAAACTGGCCTTGTATTTTGCACTTGTTCCTTATGAAGGGCCTAGGCCACAATGATTGAACAGGCTCCTTCAAAATATTTTTACTGAAAATAGCAGTGAAATAATTGCAGTAAGAATTCAGGCTTCACAGGCAAAAAAAAAAAAAAAAAGAAAAAAAATCAGAAAAAATTTGATCATTCTGCAGTTCAGGGATCGAGATGTAAATAGACATCACTACTTTTAAGTGAGCATTCCAGAAAAGAAACATTTTTAATGCCAGAATTTTATTGTCACTTCATTTCCACTGTATCAATGGCGTTTTGATTCAGTAATCTGTGAAATGAAACAAACAAAATTGAAAAATGCAGATAAAGACCATTCAGTCAGATACTGTGATATCACAAAAAAATAATAAGATTTGATAAATGATGCCCATGGGAAGAGTATTAATACATACCTTTGTCCTTTCCTCCACAAACAAAAAAATCTTTTGCTTAATGTGAGTAGTGTTTTCAGTCCGTGTAAGGTTACTTCATTCTTTCTAATGGCAGGCACCCATTAAATAAATGAAATACTTTCCCGCAAATTTCATTTTGATATGACTGCATTTTCACCAAGAATAATGTCACGACACATTGCTGTGACAAGAAAGAAGCAGTAGCTTCTTCCCTGTAGCTCCTGGTACCTTCTTCATATCGGCTACCTAGATTTCCAGCTACCTAATAATTCATGTCTAAGAAAACCAAACACCCTGAAATTTGTATCTTCTGATGTTTCAGAGACGGTGCTGAATGGAAAAGTTGACTGACCAAGTGACAATCCATCATCCTCTATGTAATTCTAAACCATTTGTGATGCACGCCATCAGAGATGCCATGCTGGCCTCTCATCTACTATGAAAATTGTATTTTGCATAATTTTCTTTTTAATGGAAATTGAAATTATTTAATTATACATACTGTTTTTCAAATGTTGTTTCTCTTTCTGTGAAATTGAAATTTGTATAACTAGGGAAAAAATATTTTCGTAAGTACCAAGAATCAAAACGTTAATGATATGAAAAATTAAGTGTTTTCCTCTTATGTGATAAGTCAAGGCAAACTATGCAAAATCAAGTGAAATCAGTAAATTCTTCTATATTGGCTGCTGTGTTCCGTGCTGATGAGCTAAACCAGTGGTCCATTCTTTTTTGCGTGTGTGGCAGCTCAAAGAAATGTGATGCAATAGAAATTACAGAACTCATTCAAAAGGGACTTCCCTGCATCTGAGAAAGAGGTTGACTTTTGTTTGAAGGCAATATGGTGTAACCATACAGGTTTCTTAGTAACAATACCGTGGCTCTGATTAATTCCCAGATTGAGGTCTGATCCTGTTCTAAAATGTGACTAAGTGGTTCTTCATGTAGTCAGGGAAATACGAATGGCAGGCTTTCGTCATTTGGTCAGACAGTGCAACCTATGCCTAATGCTGGCAGGCATCATCTCTTGAGATCTCTCCTCCCAAAGGACCCTGCAGGCAAATAGTATTGTGCTGTGTAAAAGGCATCAGTCGTCCCACACTGGGTGTGATGACTTTGAATCCAGAGCTCCCCAAATGCTTTTTCACTATATAGCTGCATAACTCACTATTCCTGTGAATGTTCCTTTTGCATCTCAAAGGAAGAAGGTGGAGAAACAAATTTGGAGCTAACCTTTTGTGTACTAGCAGGCAGTGACATCTCATAAGGGGCTCAATGTCTATGAATGTTTGATGGTGATTTCTCTGTTCTATGCCTACATTGATTTTAATATCTTGTTTAAAATAACAAAATCGTGTGCTTAATTAGAAAAAGAAGTGAGATAAATGAACAAATTAATTAAATCTTTGAACATTATTTTTTCAGAATAATACTGTGGCACAGTTGTAAGTACATGCATGGAATTACTTTTCTTCTGGCACAGAAATTAAAAAGTAAACTTGTGTTCATACAAATGGTGCAGACTCAAGTTCATACATAAAAATACACATTTTCTTTGGGGAAAATAGTATCCTTTTGTCTTTTGGCAATCATTTCTGAATCAAATTATGTGTGTTACCCATGAAGTTTACATTTTTCCTCTCATGTGCTGCGTGAAAAATTATGGGATGAAAAGTTACAATGTAATTTTTTTAAATTTTATTAAATATTAATAAATTTTAATATATTAAAAAGCCAAGATTACATTTGCTTTTTCTTCTTTATTCCCACAGGCACAACGGCTAACAGATCTGGAACAGAAACTAGCAGCTGCAAAAGATGAATTGGAAAAGGCAGCCCTTGACAAGGTAAGAAGTGTGACATGATGCAAGCGTGTTTATTAGCTGTGAATGTTTGTACATAGCTTGACAAAAACAAGTGAAAATATTGCAGAAGTTTAGGTATGTGTTTAACAGCACGCACTCGGCTTAAGTCAGTGGAAGTAAATGTTGTGTGATGTTAAATAAAGCTGCAGATTTTTTAAGAAGATGTCAACGGCTTATGGGCTGGCTTGGCCCAGTTCCGTGACCAGTGGGGTGGAGGGATCTGCGGATCCACGCCTCCAGGAAAAAAAAAAAGGTACAGGAGACCCCAAAATAATTAAAAACAGCGGCAACGATCTGAGGAGAAACAAACTAATTTACTAAATACAGTATCGGAATGCAAGATAACACACTATAATACAATACAATTAGAATTGAAGCTAATAAATCAAATATAATGAGAGAGAGAGAGAGAGAGAGAAAGAGAATGTCCAAAAGGTGGATATCTCACCATAAAGCTGAGATACTCAGTCCAATTGAGCAGCAGGGAGACGGGCAGCACCCACGATGAAGAGCAGATGAAAAAGAGTGCATCAGGTGACCTTGCCAGGAGTTATATCTCCTCTCCGTGGCTGCAAAATCCCCTGGGGAATGTAGTTCTTCTCTTCTGGGCAGGTACCCAGGACTTGAGCATAAAACCATGACAGAAGAGAAAAATCAGGTTGAAAAGGTCTCAGAGGCTTCTAAAGAATTATTACCTTTTCACTAAAGTATTTTTCTGGTTGTCAGTACCACAGTAACTGAGGATTTACTTCAACTTAAACAGTAATCACAGAAGCATTATCCAAACCTGTGTGCATTGCTGGCCATGTAGTAGTTGTTTCTTGCAAGTACATTCAAGTGACCTGCTCCTCATATTAATTGGGTAATCGTATTCACTTTGCACATGCGTACACACTCACAGGCATGCTCTCTCACTAGTGCCAGTTGCTGTTTAGTGCAATGACAAGGGGAGAATACTTGGAAAAAAAGTCTTCTAAATGTACCCTTTCATTATAACGTGGACAGCTGTGAAGGAGAAAGCAAAAAGCATTTGACATCAGGAATTTCTAATGAGTAGTAAACCAGTCTGCAAATTAAATGGGGGCTTGCAGCATGCTCAACTGACTTCTCTGACCCTATGTTTCTTTCCTAGTAAACATTATGGAATTTTAATTTATGCTAGGTTATAATTCTTCAGGTTTTTTCCTCATGACTGGCATCATCTTCTGGTAAATTACCGTTGAGAAAATCCATGGATGGCGTCAATAGTTCATTTGGTTTAGGGGGCATGGTGGTGATGGAATGAGTTGAAGGTTGAACTCAATAATCTTACTGGTCTTTTCCAAGGTTTATGATTCTGTGATGAGAAAGAGGCATGGAAATAGAGAATGAAAAGTGCAAAGCTCATAAAAGTGGAATTGTGAAAAAGCTCTTTGAGACACAGTGCCCATGCTTATTCTCACTGCAGAATAGTAAGATCATTTAAGTTTTCAAATACCTTTTCTGCCCTGGTCAAGAGTTTTTCTCTGTGAACTAAAAACAGTTGGAGATCAGTGCAGTGAAGATGTTGACGAAGTTAGCATGTGCAGTAGGAATGGGGTTGATGTAGAGAGAACAGTGTTTTTTCAGAACATGAGCTGTACTGGAAAAGATTAATTGAGTAACCGAGTCTCAAAATGTGACTATAAATTGGCATAGAACTGTATTGTACTTTTGGGAGGGTATGAAACTTCTGTTTTTAATATTTGCTTTAAGTATTGTTTGTGCAGACAGAAGATTTAATGTCTCACATTTGTGTATTCGTACTGCAGCGTTTTTCTAACTCCCATGATGGGATCCTGAGAAGCCTGACATTTTTTGTTTTGCTACAGCCCCATTTGTTCTATACTAAGTCCAACTCTGTCTCGTCTCAAAAGTATAAGGAGGAAAACATAAAGACATGCATATCATCTTGACAGTATTTATGACTGGCCATAGCCATAGCAAAGCAAGCATTGAAGGACAGGAGAGGGGGGTGAAAGGATAAGTAATTATCTGGAGGAAATTATCTGGAGATAAATTTCTGAGGACCAACACCTCTACCTTAACTTCTTCCTGGGGTCAAGAGTCTACTTATCTCTGGAAGATTCTGGAAGAGCCCTTTTTATAAAAGCTTCCCTACAAAAGTAGTAGGGAAGTATTCCCTACTAAATGTTTGCTGATTTTTCTCAGAGCCTCTCAATTATAAGATACATTCCCTATTTGAATTTAGTGGAGGTTTATCTGACATAAAACATAGGATCTAACAATACTTACTTAGCAAGTAAACTAAAACAAGATTTTGTGTACCATATCTCATTGTTCATGATTCATATTTGTGAAATATTTTTAACGTTGTATACATAATATTTGAAAAATGTAGCATGCACTATTTTACATATGCATGTATTTCCCATCAGCTTTAGTCATGATATGCCTCAGAGTCCTTCAAAAAAATCTTTAAAGGCCAAAATGTGTGGTTGTATTATGTGTTTATAGGTAGATTTTTAATACCAAGAACAAAAGCAAGATTTTTTTAAGGCCAAATGCTGTTTAACTCCCCCTGAGACAAGTGTGATGAAGGCAATAAATAATATTTGATTCTCCAAACGACTTGCAGTGATTGAACAAAGATTTTAAAATGGGACCTCCTCAGTGAGTAGTTATCTCACTGCTCTTATTGCCTCAACTTTGTTCAGTGTCAGACTGCTGCTTTCATGAGTACCTCTTTATTTATGAGTAAAACAGCAGTATTATGGCTCAAGCTACAGACACTATCATGTAATTATGAGAACAATTCACCAATTAAAAGGTGTAGATTGGCTTAAAGTACAGTAATGGATGTGGACAAATCACAGCCTTAACAGGTGGGAAGTCCTGCTATACAGCATAAAAGCATAATAGGCACATGTATATACATGAGTGTAGTTATCCTTCTGTGGGATTAAAATCAGTCTTTATAATGTAGAAAAATACTAATTAACCTGAACATTATAGGCAAAATTCCATGCAAAGTCTATGTCTTTGCAGTACTTGCAAGTGTCTACTTCTCTCTACTAAATATTATATGTAAAAATCTGGACATGATGAGATTTGGTAGGTGGTATATTTGTTCCTTTAATGATAAAATAGAATTCAGTAAGTATTTGCAATAACCAATACAGATAAAATTCAGAGATAAAAGGGAACAATGCAAGAACTTTTTAGATATTTTGGTGTATAGTGCACAGTAACTTAATATAAAAAACACATAATTGTGCTAGTAGTAATGGAAAGAAATAGCAGCTGTTATTTGTAAATGTTAGCCTTAATACAAAAAGATAAAGCAAGTGGCTCCATTCATAATTACACATCTCAGAGAAGTGATGTTTTCTTGTTTTCCCCAGGATTCACAGCTGAAAGCTCTCAAGGACACTGTGAAGTTTTGCCTGTCCTCCGTTCTGCGCAATCAACCTACTGCTATACATCGAATCCCTTCAAAACCAACAGAGAAGCTGACATCCTCAGCTACAGAGGGCTCAAAAGTTCAATTTCCAGTAATAAGCACCAAGGTATTGTATCTCCCTCGCTCTTTTTTTTCAAGTATCTGTGAGAGTTTGTCCTGTAAGAGCATCAAACTGGAACTAAGAAGGATTCAAAATTCATTGCAAGATTAGGATGAATTTTAAGCCAATTCTAATAATTCTAAGCCAAATTTTGGTATCAGTAAAGTTTCACAGTGTTGGGAAATGAGTACTTTTATTTGCTGAGAAGCAGAATTCCATCTATTGCTTGCTAAATGAGCTGTGTCTGCATAACAAATCTACGAGGAAGATGGATTTACATCTAAAGCAAGAATGGAAATTCATGGGATTATTTACCTGCCAGGCACTGATAATGTGTTTGTGGTACTACAGCACTGAACAGTGAGGCACTTTTTGTTTTTCACAAAAAAAGCCATGACAAAGCCAATATAGAAGAGTAAAGCAGGTTGGTATGTTCAAACAGAATTTGCCGAAAGGGCTGCAATAATAGGCCAGGGAATATTTGATTTGCAGAATACATCCAGGAAATAGGAACAACAGTTCAGGAGTAAATATGATTAAAAAACTGGTTTCTAAAGCATTCTGATTCTATAAGTGAAAGCATTTTATCACAGTTGAGATATACAGTGATAGACAGATATTCAGATAATTTCCATCTCCAGGGTTGCATTTTGCTCATCTATTCGTGTGATTCAGTACATTTAGACTGAGTCTAAGGAAGAAAATTTTACAGCAGGATGGTGGAGCATTTGTTTCATTTTTCCCTTAAATTCTACAACTCTTTCGTGAAATATAAAAAGAGATTGCCAACTCACAGTCAGTTTGTAATTTTTTATAGCAGCTGTTGATATGCACCATTAGTACAGAGATTGAAGCCAAAAATCAGAAATCTTTCTCTATGTAATTAAAACTGAAATGTAATGTCAGAAAGTTGAATATGATTATAAAGCTGGATCTCATGTTGCTTCTCTTACCATATTGATTGTAGGTTCCTTAACTATTTCAAAGTGAGAAGTCTTCACTTCGTAAACCATTACCTCCAGAAAGAAACCAGCTTATTATTTAGTAACAGCCCATGAGGATATTAGACCTCACTTAGATTAAAACAACTGGTTCTCCATTCTGAAGAAGGATGGACTCAAGGATATGCAGACTGAGATTTCAGGAGCATATAGTCCCTGGCACAGCAAAGGAATACACATAGAGTTTGGAACAGAATTTATGACATTTGATTGAAAAACAAAATTATCTCCATTCTTTTTCCAGTCAATAATCAAATTGATTTTGTGTTTAATGTTCCAGTTTATGAAATATAGCAATATTTCTATGTAGCAGTCTGAGTTCTTTGTATCACAAGAGTGCTTGAATAACTTATGCTCCCGCTTTAATAGACATTGCTCACATTTCTCTGCACATGGCATATGCCATGAAAACATCTGCAAAAATGATGGTTCTGAGTCCTGCTCTTCCTCACACTGATACCTCATTATTATAAATCTGTGCATTATCTGTGATTATAAAACCACTGAAATCTGCTACTGTAAAATAGGTTGTCAAGTCAGCATAGCCAGTCCAGAATGTCTGCATTCAAGCCTTATTATGGAAGGCATTTTTCTTATTTTTTTAAAAGAATAATATCCATTCTCATGTATCTTTTCCTTGTTGTTTTTTTTTTTAATCTTGCAGACTAAGTCAATCTAACTACATTGTTCTAACTACAGACAGTGTTCTTTCTCTATCACATTTGCATAAATATTTTAATATACCAGGCTCGTATTCTGGTAAGTGTAATTGTGTTTGATTATTTTTCCTACGTGAAAATGAGAAATTCATATGAGCATCTCGTAACTGAGATGCAGTTGAACTTTGAGGAAAGAAATTATCAGTTGTCTGGTAAATACCTTCTAAGATATTCTCATCCTACATAAGAAGTTTATTCTAAAATAGTCACATTTATTTTAAATCCATGGAAGTGTATGACATCTGCATTACTTAGATATGCAGTCATCTGTGAGGTTGGGGCACTTCTCACTAAAAACAGTGGCAATAAGAAGGTTGTATTTTTGTATTGAGAGCTGGAAATCACAAAATGAGTGCTTGCTAGAGAAGATGTTTAAGATAAGAACATGATGCAGAAAGGATAATTAGGAAAATAAATTTCCAAATTTCTTGTGAAGGTTCATTATAAAGATTTGATTTGCTAAAGTGTCTTTTTTTTCTTTCAAGAGACTGTAAGATAAACGCAAAGAGATTCAAAAATTAGTGCATAAATGCACATAAATCACTAAAATCAAAAGTTTAGTTCCCTTGAATTGATTAATAGTAGTGCATTTTGCTACACCTTACCATGTACAATTTACAAAAATATAGAGAGAAGGCACTAATATTTCAGACAAAACCCATTTTACCTATCCTGTAGCCATCATAACACAGATTTCACTCGTGAAAGCAGTTCCCAAAGGCTGTCTGCATGCGAATTCATTGCCACTAACATCTCAAAGGAAACCCCACAAAGGAAAAAACTAAGAAAGGTGGTCATTAATCCTGAACTATGAGGTCTTGATCTTTCTAGATTGTTGACAATTCTTTGTATTCCATAGTTTCTTTTCACACCATAATGTCCCAGCTAGTAACTGTCTGTCTACTGGAAGTGGAGAATGCTCCCAAGTGAGTTTGGAGTTGCCAAATGCAACAGCTGCAGCTGCAACTGTCTTGTGTCATCCCTGTGACACACTGGGGAGAAGGAAGAGGGCTAGAAATCTTTGAAAGGAAGATTTCTGATCTCTAGATGACCGCCTAAGGACTCAAAGCTTTACAGCCATTTAGGTACATCTAGGTAGATTATCATTAATGGATGAAAATCAACTAGGCTACCTGCTGTGGGGAACATGGGTTGGGATCATCTGTGAATCAGAGTACTGGTATTGACATCCAATTGAGGCCTCTTCTGTATTAACTGTAGCTTGGCATATGGAACAACTCTGATGTTTTAGATGTGTTTTCAAGTATATGGATTCACTAGGTGGAATGCTTTCTTACTCAATTTGTTCTAATTTTCCTTTCTGGAAAAGGGTAGCATTACACTTAAATTAATACAGTTTTTATAATGATGGCTATCATTCAAATATCTTTGGCTTCTTTGGCTGTGCAGTGTAAATATACCTGTGCCCTAAATGCAAAGAAAAAATGAGCTTGAGTCATTCAGAATATTAATGAAAATGAAGCAGAAAAACAGCTTCTATTTGCAGTAGCAAGGTTGAATACATAAATAATGGGCAGTGCAATTAAAAGAATAGCGGAATAATGGCAGCTAGTTTGCTCTAGGGTGTTTTTGTCTAACATTTTTTTGCATATTCCCCACATAAATTCCTTCATAAATGCCCTGTGGTTTTGTGTGTTTTGTGGACTGCAGTGTTCTAGGAGTAAAAATAGCCAAGAATTTCAAACTGTGAAGAAGAAAATAACAGCCCCATAGTCCCCTACTGCACATGGCTGGAATGAAAGACCACCAACAAACACCATGTGTGTCCAAGTTCTGACAGAGGAAACAGGCTGAAGAATGAGAACTGCCCTTCTGTAGAAATGTAGGGGAACTATCATTCCGATGTTGCATTTGTGAATATATTTTGAAAAGATTTAAAAATCTACAAGAAGTTACATTTTCCTGGTAGTAACTGCTGCAAGAGCTGTTGCCTCTGCTTCTATTGCTGTGACTATTATAGGTACCAGTATACACTGATCAATGTAAAAAATCCAGAAAAGTAGGAAGTGTGGTGTCCCATCTTTCTTTCATCTAGAAATAATCATGCCCAATCAAAATGAGATCAGGTAATGTTATATCAGTATTAAGCCCACAGAAGTGTTCTTGTGGGGTGCAAAGGAATGAGAGCTTGTGAAACTCTTCAGAGAAGGTACAGGTCTGAAAATGTGGTCACTCTGAAAAGCATTTTGGAATGGTCATGTAGTAACTCAAGAACATGATTTATTGTGTTAGTATGTCTTAGTATTCAGGTTAAACATAAGCTTACTGTTAGTTTGAGAGCATAGATACTGAGCCTCTACTGCAAATACTGAGCAAGGTTACTGAAAGCAGAAGATGATGTTACTGCCTTCTTCTGTGCTTCTTTACAAATTTTATCTGGGTTTTAGATTTTCCTTTGTGGGGGATTTTTTTGGTAATTGTTCTTTGTTCTGTTGCTGGTTGTATTGGTGTTTGTTTTTATTTTTTTGTTTTTTGTAGTTGTTGAGTTTTTGTATTTGTGGATGTCATTTTTTAAATCTAGAAATGATCTATTTGTGAAATCAGAATATTTATTAGGCTCTAGGACTTATTTCATTCTACAAAGGTAGAAACGATTGATAGAATGATTCTGTATGAAATAATAAGTAGTTAAATATTTGTACTGAATACCAGTTATAGAAAAATCTCATATCATATCATTGATAATACTGAATAATGATAACTGACTAGAAATGTAGAAAGAACTTATGATTACATGCTTACATTTCTTCAAATGCAGAAATATTTTGAAAGAATAAAGATGGATTAGGAATGTGTAAGTTGGGTCCAGCCCATGTTTTTGAAGACAGAACAGAAAATTTTTTAGTCATTTTAAATTACTATATATTACAGCCTAGAAAACTGATATAATACCTTCAGATTCATGAAAAATTAACCAGCTGAATATGGAAATATATTATATTTTGCTGTAGGTCAAGAAAGAAACTGTATTCTCCTGGATGAGGAGCTACAAGATATGGTTTAATAGCTTGTGGTAGCAATGGTAATGGGTGGACTAAATGATCTTTTAGGTCCTTTCCAACCTTGAGATTCTATGATTCTATGAAGTTAAATGAGAACAAATTACACAGAAAGTAGTCTGTTTTCTAAAATTAAAGCTATTACCAATCTGTTCGTTTATCATGATATTCCAGTTTAAATGAAGGTTCAGACCTTGAAAAAAAAAACTTGCATATTCATTGCTCAAGAATATGAAACAACAATAATACAGCTATGAATTTATTTT